CATGGGACATGCAGCCAGCCGTGGCAGTGTAACTGTCAGGAGGGTTGGGGGGGCCTCTTCTGCGACCAGGACCTGAACTATTGTACTAACCACAAGCCATGCACCAATGGTGCCACTTGCACCAACACAGGCCAGGGCAGCTACACCTGCAACTGCCGGCCCGGCTTTGGAGGTACCAACTGCGAGCTGGAGACCAACGAGTGTGACAGCAACCCCTGCAAGAACGGAGGCAGCTGCAATGTGAGTCAACAATCAGTTTGTCTGCTTATTATAACGATGCAATAAGAGCAAGATAAGATAAGAAAAACTGATCCCATGCAGGCAAGTTTAAGTTTCACAACAGCAGGAGATAGGATAGGCCATGTGCAGCAATATACTGCAAACAACAGAAGAAAATGAATGGATGGATTATAAACTGTGCTAACAAAAAAAGAAAGAAAGAAAGAAAGAAAGAAAGAAAGAAAGAAAGAAAGAAAGAAAAGAAAAGTCAAAATTGCACTTGAGGGAGTAGAACTAGATGATTGCTCTCTACTGGTCTACAGAAGATTTGACACAACGCATACAGAATAGTTCTTGGCAGCGAAATAGATCGGCTGCTTACGTCTTATTTTCTAGATCTTTGCTCTGTGAGCTGAAGGTTTTCTTTCCTTCCACAGGACCTGGAGAATGACTACTCCTGCACCTGTCCTCAGGGATTCTATGGGAAGAACTGTGAGATCATTGCCATGACTTGTGCAGATGGTCCCTGCTTCAATGGCGGCACCTGTGTGGAGACAATGACCGGAGGCTACACCTGCCGCTGCCCTCCCAGCTACACTGGCTCCAACTGTGAGAAGAAGCTGGACCGCTGCAGCAACAGGCCCTGTCTAAATGGTGAGTGTACATCTTGTGGCTGAAGTACAAATCAACCAACCTTGGCTCTTCGTCAGTGGTGAAGTGTGACTCTCAGCACTTCTGCATGAATGCACTTGTACCAAATGTAATCCAATTAACACTCCTTCTTTAAACGACTGGCCACCTTCTGATTTAATGGATGCTGAACAGAGTGTTTCTCTCTTCTGCAGGCGGTGAGTGTCTGGATCTCGGCCAGAGCATCTTGTGTCGTTGTCAGGCAGGCTTCACAGGTGCCAACTGCCAGGTTAACATTGACGACTGTGCCTCAAGTCCCTGCCAGAATGCTGGAACCTGCCAAGATGGTGTAAATGACTACACCTGCTCCTGTACTCTGGGATACACTGGCAAGAACTGCAGCGTGCGCTCAGATGCCTGTGGTGCCCATCCCTGTCAGAACGGTGGCACTTGTTTCACCCACTTCACTGGGCCCGTGTGCCAGTGCCCCAAGGGCTTTATGGGTCCCAGTTGTGAGTTCACGCTTCAGCCCAGTTTCAAGCCAGCTTTGCGCCAAACCTCCCAACCCTCATCTACTACCCTCACCCTCTCCTGCGCTCTGGCTATTCTGGTACTAGTCCTGGTTGCAGGGATCCTCTACTTGAGGAGGAGGAGGAGAATGCAGGGAAGGAAGCAGCTAAGAGACACTGCAGTTTATAACGACTTGGAGACAGTCAACAACCTGGGTGGAAGCGAAAGAGACGCCTTCCTCGGCCCCAATGGCCTCTTCAAGATCAGCAACAGCACAGCCCGTCTCAGCCTCTCCCTCTGCCCAGATGGCAGACCGGGCTACAGGCACAACCCTGTGGAGAACAGCCTTTCCAGAGGGGAGCGTCAGGACTTCATGTGGAGAGATGAGGCAGGACTGAGATGAAAAGCGACAAAGCACAGATTTGAAAAACAGGGAAAGAAACACATTAGCACTTGTTGCTCCTCTTTCGATATGTACAGTGAGGGAAGGAGTAAATCCACGAGGTGGAAACCACTCGTGCTCACAAACCAATATAAACATCACTGAAAAAAGCAAAATTGTGACAAATAAACTATTCTGATATAGATGATTTATTACTGAGAAGGTATCCGGGGCCAAGCTCTTCCATGTGTAAGACCCAAAGAGACAAATAATATGATCCACTGTTCATAGGACCTAAAACACAAAACCAAATACAGGAAGATCCGATATCCAGGCCTCTTTTGGAAAACTGGCCCAGATGTGTTTTGCTGGGTTATTCTTTTGAATATGTTCACTTTGTTGTTGTTGTTTTTTAACACTCAAATTTTCTTTTGCTTTTCAATCTTCCTTTTGCCATTATTTCCTTGTTGTGCGTACCATCATTTTTTTTTTATCCTTTTATTATTAATTATTATTTATTTATTTGAAAACTCGTGTTTATGGTTTCACTTTGTCACAGATGTAGAGATATATTTATATGATGCTAAATGAAGACCGATGCTTGATGCTGTGCATGGATGTTTTGTAGGCTGTGTGAGATATCCCAAAGATATGATGGGCAGGGATATAATGAGAATGTGCTTTTTCACATAACGTCAGCCATCACTGTAATTTATATAAATATATATAATATAGTACTGCTGTTCATGTGCCATTTTGAGTTCATGCCAAAGTTTGTTTTATGTTGCATCTTTTCATTCATATTATTTATTTGTAAGTTCATTATGTCATGGTTGTGATGTGAAATAAAACTTTGCTTTAAAGCGATCCGAGATTTTAGGATTCTGTTCCACAGGCTTGAACAGTCCTGTTTTACATGGTATCAGTGGTGATTTATATTCTGGTTGATCTAGGAGGCAATGACTTCAGAGCTCAAATATATATTTTTAAATAAACTAGTTTAACTATTTACTAATTCGCTAAAAAAAAAAGGTCAAGATGCTGAAAAATGCATCTTCATTGCACTCACACACGGAAATTTCGAACCAGTGACTATCAGTCCGGTTCTTGTGTACTTTGGCTGACCTCAGATCTTTCTCCCTGTTTCTCTTCCTTAAGAATGGCTTCTTAGCAGCCACCCTACCGCTGTGACCATTCCTGATGAGGCTTCTGTTAACTGAACAGATGCTGTTCAGTTTATTAAACCTATTTTGCCTTCCAATTTTTCTGCTTCCTCAGATTTCTTTTCCAGGAACACACTGCACACTTTGCTGAGATACAGCAAGTTTTTAGTTTATAGCTCTTCAGGAATGAACTCGCCGATGCTATTTTATACCCATCAAACTATGTTCTGTTTGGCACTTTTCATAGATTCAACTAAAGAAATCAGAACAAATGAGGTGTTTTTGTAAGAAAGTAACTAAATTGGCAATTACAATAGAAGTGATTCTGTCTCCTTGGAGGCAAAATGTAAAGAAATGATAGGGTAGCTCAAAACACTTCTGGATTTTTATGTTAAAGTGAGACGGAAAGTACTAACTACAACAGCTGCAGGACAGAATTTATGTATAAACGCTGCGACATAGTTAAAAGACAATATGCAGGACGGTGTTTTTACAGCTATCTAAAAAGTGTGAGGAAACTGTATCACATGTTTGTTTATTAATTAATATTATAGATTTCCTCCATGGTTTTTCTTGATAAAAGCTCTGCATGTTACTGGTGTAAATACATCTGGAATGAGAAAATAACTAAAATCAGAGACAGCTTTAAGCCTTCAGGACCCTCTCACGTGGAATCAGCTCGCAGTTTAGATTAAGGAGACAGAAACCTTCTCTAAAACTTGGTTTGATAAAGCTTACAGTTAGCCCCTTACTGTAGCTATGATGACAGACTCATGATGCACTGAATGCCTCCCCTTAACCCCCTATTTCTCTCCCAATGCATTCATATATGCCACTAATGGGAATTATTAATTTGCCAATTTCCTAAATTGTGGGGGAAAATATCTGCTCCTCCCTTTTAAAAGGGCGTTCTTGCTCCTAATAGCTGTCATGTGTTTGCTCATAGGGGATGATCGCTGGAGTTCTTACTCTAATGTTGAAGGGTCTTTACCAAACAGTATAAACTGCCTTGAGACAACTGCAAAATAAAACAAAAAATACATTAATTTCTATCTTCTAATCAGACATTCGGCTGTGCTGAAATACAGCAAACAGCTTCATTCAACTGCTGCAGTAATCCATATTAGAAATGCTCAGCTGAGTAAAGAGAAATTATAGTTCATCCAGTCTTCAAGAATGTTTAAAGTGTCAGTTGCACCTACAATAATAACCACCAAACGCTGTGATGAAACTTCTCCAGATCTCCAACAATTCCCTTTGATACTAAACAAAAGTGGATTGGAGTCACTAGCCTGAGAAATCAACAGTTAACAGCAGCTCAGATCAGAGCTCAGCTCAGTGCTTTGCAGCCATGTCTCAGAATCAGGTGTTTATCAGGCTTTCAAAGAAAATAAACCACTGATGAGGTTCACCAACAAGATGAGAACAAAGAATCATTTGGCCAGAAGATATTTGAACTTGGTCTGATAAATCTAAATATGAGATGCTTGATTCCAGCTGCCATGTCATTGTGGCAGAGAGAGGCTGACAGATGGTATGTTCCCTAAGGGTTGAAGGGGGGGTGCATTCCCTCTTTTATGGCTTCTAGACCAAGAATATTGAGTGGTGAATAAGATCCAATCACCACTACAACCACCCAACCTTAACCCATTTGTCAAGCTGTGAAAGGTAATGGAAAATGAGTATAGTTGTAAGAAAGAAAGTTTTACTATGTGTTATTGGGAAGATTCCTAAACAAAGTACACTCTTGGTGCTTCCACAGAATTTAAAGGGTAAGTAGCAGCTCAGTGCTTCTCAATCAAATCTTCTTCTTCTTCTTCTCATGGCTCATCCCATTAGGAGTCACTCCAGCACTTTTTCCTATGCTCTTTTTATGTAAGTGTACTTTCCAAGCACATAGTGTTAGATAGTAAACACTTACTAACATTCTATTTAAATGCACACCGATGGATGCATCCGCGTAACGCAGCGTAAAAAGATTAGTTGTTGAAGAGAAAGGACCCACTCCTTTCAGAGGTCTCGCTAAGTGCCTGAGGTGGTGGTAGGTGTGCATGCCATGTGCCCCCCGTGAACGCTTACACACGTTGCGCCTGTGACATCATGAGCTTAAGTGACGCAATCGGTTAACCAGGCACAGCTGAGTAATTAGAAAGTGAAAATATCTCTTCTTTTATTTTCATGTATTTATTTATTCTTTTCTTGTTTTTATTAAAGGTTTTACAGTCGGAATGGTTCAGTGACTTGCTCTATGTTCCAGAGAAGCCAAAGATTCAATTCAATTCAGTTTTTATCAAATCACAAAAACATCTCAAGAGGAACAAGGGAAAAAAAAAGGTGGGAGCTGTGTCGCCTCCCAGCTCCTCTCCCGTCCGTGCGCGTCAAAAAGGCGAGAAACCAGCCCGACCAGTCCACAGCAGAGATGGCAGCAGAGATGGCAGCCGAGTGGACAGACGCAGCGCTCGAAGAAAACGCCGGCGAAGAGTGCAGTCGTAGCATCCCGAAGAGACATGCCCGGGTTACGGTGAAGTACAACAGGAAGGAGCTGCAGCGACGCCTCGACGTAGAGAAGTGGATCGACGAGAGCCTGGATAGACTGTACGCGGGGCAGGTGGGTGTCTCTGAGAGAAGTGAACTGATACTGCACAGTACTGTCTGCGTGTCCAACACGTTTAAAAGCTTTCGAGTTGAGAAGAAGTTGAAATGCGAAATGGAAAATATTATATTTAAACAAGAATGTTGCGTGAAGACACTTTCCTGAGACTCATCTTCAGGTCTCTGTTGATTTATGAGGTGTTTAGGGAATGAGGGGTGGGGCACTATGTTGTCCTTACAAGGCCAAACATTAGATGTGAAATCTGCTGCTGTTCCTGTCTCACAAATCTGTATTTGTCTTGGAGCTTTCTGCCTTACATGGGCAGTGTGGAACTGGGAGAAAAGGAAGAGGGGGTAGGAGGGAGAATGCTGGTTTTATGTCCCAGGAGGGGGTAAACACTACATCTGGGAAGCAGCTGACAAGATGTTAGAATCCCTCAACAGGAGTTTCAGGGAAAGTTTCTTGTTTTTGGACTTAAGAGTTATAATGAAAGTCTGGTTTGATTTTTAAAATGGCAGAATTCAGATGGTTACAATGATAAGTCATCTCTCCAAATAAAAAGGAGCGAACATACCAATTTTCTCATCATCCCCATACCCAGAAGATTCTGAGTGAGACAAATGCTTTTTTTTTTGTAAAATGGTCCTTTACAGTGAACCGACCTTACTCAACCAAGTATGATTATGCAACATAAGGTCATGTCACACTCAAGAACAGCATTTCATTGTTTTCAAAAATAAAACAAGCCTAAAAACAGGAGTTGCTGTTATAGTGCATAGAGATGCAGTCCTATAAGTGCCAGGGGCCTGATCACAAAGGCAGTGCAGTGCACTGGTGTGCATGGGTGGGTGGACTGGCCCTTCACTCAGCTTGTACAATGGCTGTTTGTTCAAACAGAACACGTCACTCTTACTGTAGCCTATTACATGAACACTGTTAACATTCGGTCCCCACAGCCTAAACAATGCAATTAATGTTTGCAGGCTGAATGTAAATATTCCAGCTACTATTAAAGCTTAAAGTACTATTTGGACATGGAGGTTAAATGTTTCAGGAAGTCTTTTTAACTTAGTGACTGTTAAAATGGACATTTGCACATGGCTGAATCTCTTTTCTCAGCATAAAGGTAGCCTACCTTTAGAACTTGGGTATTCAGAAAGTCCCTGTAAGTATGCATACTGTGTATGTGCTGACTAACAGACATCTGGTAAGAATATTACTGTAAAGTTGTGCAAAAGTTGTTTTGTGTGATCAGTTTATCCTGGGATGAAACTTTTTTTTTATTTTAAGCTCAGTCTTGAGGGTGTGAGGACTCTCTGAATGGTGTGGTGTGTATGAAGATGTTTTAGACCATCATATTAGAAAATGTTCATCCAAATGGTGAAAGTCCCCATCCAATGGTGACTTTCTGTTAGATTTAATTTTAATTTATCAGCTGTTTGTGTTCCAAAAATTATCATTCCCAGGGAGTGAATCCTCTCCTAATCTCAGCCTATTCCTTTTTATGGTTTTTATTAGCCAGTTGAAGTGGAAGAGTTGAGACAGGCTCTAGGTGGTAGGGAAGAGTTACCAGATAACTGGGAAAGTACAGCTGACGTGTTGAAGTATTTGCTGTATCGTCTGGACAAATGAAAGAAGACCAGGAGACTCAGCAGTGGAATGAGCAAGTACACAAAAATATTCAAAGGAGGAAGCTGGCACAGAAAAATTGAGATCGGTACATAGATGAAGAAAGTGGATTGGGGTAGGCTAGACATACAGCAAAGACAGACAAAGTAAAAGAAAAGGCTTATAGTGAGCTTATGCTAGCTTGGACACTGAAGGAGAGAAGGACTTGCACTAGCTTGGCAGAGGGCTTGAACTGGAAAGGATGTGCAGCAGGTCAGGGTGATCAAGGATAGACATGAAAATGTACTAATTAATAAAGAGTGCTGAGAAAATGAAATAACTACTTTAAAGAACTTACGAATGAAGAAAGTAGTAATAGTAACTACAGACAGATAAAGCTGGTGGTTGGTTTGCAGTAGTGATTGCCAGTTTGACAGATGTGTTTTGTTCACATGATCATAGTTACTTTGGATCCACTGACAACTGAAAGGACAAAGTCTTAAGTTATGAGTTAGTACCTGCTCCAAAAGGCACCGACAACACAAACACAGTAAAGATCCAGTGTAATGACTTAAAGTAGTAGATAAGGTCTAATCTGAGGCAGATTTAAACCAGCTCCAGCTGCCTATTTCTGGCCACCTGGCAATCAAAGCGGCCACCCCCCAAACTTTTGTATCCAAGTGAATTTCATTCAAAATAATTATGAAGGGGGAAACTATCCACAGAGGCTGAAACAGTTCTTTGTACCAAGCTGTAAACATGCTTTTTAGTGCTATAAAGCTGGGCATATTAATATGTGATTCTATGGGGAATGACTAACTCTTGAACCCAGCTTCAGTTGCTATCTAGACAAACAGCAGTCTTTGAAACCTCCGCATTGGCCTAGTTTTTCAACGCCATAGGTTGCCCCTTAAACAAAGAAACAGATGAACAAAGCATTTAAAGCTGAGTGCATGCCAACTGCAGGAAAACGGACGATACTTGATTTTTCAACTGATAACAAAATCAGTATTGTAGCATGCATCTGTCACATTCTTGTGACGTGTGTATGCCTTCTACGATGACTCGCTGAAGCGTTCCACATGTGTGTTTTCATTACTTCCATGTCCATGTGTTGCCCTCAGGAGAGTGACATGCCAGAGGAGGTTAACATTGACGATTTGCTCGACCTTCCGAATGAAGAGGAGCGTGTCAAAAAGTTGCAGGTAATATGACCTGTTGCATTTATCGCTATCTTTTCAATTTTGGCATGAGATAAATGGACATTTTGTTTTTTATTTCTGACCAAATAAATAAAGTAAAAAACACAAGGTGCATTAATGAGGTTGGTATACAAGTCCAAAATTGAGCAGGTAGACGTAGACACTCTTCAAGACAAACCCCCTTATGTAACAACGAACAAAGAAATTTACAAATTAAATTGTATACAGGTTGCTACGTTCTCATTAGGTATAGATATGTCCACATAACAATAATAATGGAAAATAGTAGTTAGAAATCAGCAAAACTGAGTCAAAACGATAAGTTTGATAAGTCAAATCATCTTCATACAAACTTTTTTTTTTTTTTTTTTTTTTTATACAGTTGTGTGAACTTAAGGTTTGTTTTAACACTGTCCTTTTTTTAAAAAACAGGAACTTCTTCAAAAGTGCAGAAGCAGCACAGAGGTAAGTTAAAACTGCAAGTTGCATTTACAAGCACTGATGCAAACATGCACGTGAGCTAAACTAAAGCTACAGTCCGTCTTTCTCCCTGTGGTCCTTCCACATTCCTCAGCAACAGCTCTTTTTTTTTTTTTTTTTTTTTTCCAGTTCAGTGATTGAAACAATGAGGCTCTCTGGAACAAACAGAGTCAGTGTAGGAGCTGCATTTTCATTTTTTTTGTTTATTTTTTATTTTTTTAACTCAGACTTAATTTATTAGACTTTTTGGATATGGATTAGATTAAACTGATTCACTTTTATCCAAGCACTGAAACATTTTTTTCTTCCCTTCTATATCCTCTCCTCACCATGGACTATATGCCCTAAAAAGTAAAGTTTTCAGTACGACTTCAATAAACACTTTCCTAATGAGTTGATGATCTCAGTTGTTAGCATTTAGTCACTGATGATCTCATTTAAAGAAAAATAGATGTTGAAGCAGAGTATTGTTTTGGCAGTGGATGCCTTTGTGCCTGACAAGATCGACAAAGATTAACATGGGGGCAGCCGAAATGCTGTTGAGGCTTCAAAATGTTAGTCCATAACTCGGTTAATGGTTTCACGGTTGCTGCATCCATCTTTTCTGTACAGTCTGCACTACTAACAGTGGAAGGGACAAAAACCACACTCCTGTTTGTGCAGAAATCGATTGCAAAGTTTATCTTAAATAAACGTGAGCAGTCCAAGTCTAAAGTTTCCATGCTGGACAGCTGTGGATGGATGTGACGTTTGCATCGGTGATGACTGAAGCAAGCACACATACAATATTCAACAGTCAGTGCACGTATGACTAGGTGAATATTGTTTTAAAATAGGTTCAATTAATGAAGGTAATGAATGAATGTAAAACACCTGCAACAGCTACAGCTGATACTAACACAGAGATTTAGTACTTCTGATGAATGTTTATGAATGTTCATAGTAAACAAATGTGGACAGGGAGTATTTCTACATGGCAGGGGCATCTGGTTTTTTCACCTGCACGTAGACTGTTACATAACACAATATATCTGGGTATTGCATGTCTCAACAAACTATAGGGCTCAAGTAGCTAAAGCAGCGAAAAGCTTAACCAAGTGTAATGCTAAACATAAAATTAAAGGCATCACGATCACATGCTACCAACAACTCACAAATCACAACAACAGTGTCCTCAAGGTGCTTTATATTGTAAGGTAAAGACCCAACAATAATACAGGAGAACCTCAACAATGTGATAACCCCCTATGACCAAGTGCTTTGGCAACCGTGAAAAGAAAAATATCCAGTTTAACAGGAAGAAACCGCAGACACACTCAGTCATAGGGAGGGACGGCCATCTGCTTCGACCGCTTGGAGGAGACTCTAGAAACTAGAGTATTGGGGTGATAATATTACTGGCCTGATTATTTAAGACCTTGTATGTGAAGAGCAGGATTTTGAATTCAATTCTGGATTTAACAGGAAGCCAATGAAGGGAACCCAATATAGGAGTAATATGTTCTCTCTTTCTAGGGCCTGTCAGGACTCTTGCTGCAGCATTTTGGATTAACTGAAGGCTTTTCAGTGAGTTTTTAGGACTTCCTGATAATGACTTCCAGCCTGAAGTAATAAATGAATGAACTAGGCTTTCTATCATCACTCGGCAACAGGATATTTCAGATTTTAGAGATATTATGCAAATGGAGGAAAGCAGTCCTACATGTTTGTTTAATATGTGCATTGAAGGACATATCCTGTTAAAAACCACTCGGGTTCCTCACAGCGTTACTGGAGGCCAAAGTAATGCCATCCAGGGTAAGAATCTGGTTAGATACCATATTTCTAAGCTTTTCAGGGCCGAGTACAATAACCTCAGTTTTATCTGAATTAAGAAGCAGAAAGTTAGCGGCCATCCAGGTCTTTGTCTTTAAGACATTCCTGCAGTTTAACTAATTGGTGTGTGTTATCTGGCTTCATGGACAGATAGAGCTGGGTGTCATCTGCATAGCAGTGAAAATGTGCACTATGTCTTCTAATGATGCTGCCTAAGGGAAGCATGTATAATGTAAACAGAATTGGTCCTAGCACTGAACCCTGTGGAACTCCATAATTAACCTCAGTGTGTGAAGAGGACTCTCCATTTACATGCACAAACTGGAGTCTATTAGATAGATATGATACAAACCACTGCAGTGCAGTACCTGTAATACCTACAGCATGTTCTAATCGCTCTAATAGGATATTATGGTCGACAGTATCGAACGCTGCACTGAGGTCTAGCAGGACAAGCACAGAGATGAGTCCACTGTCAGAGGCCATAAGAAGATCATTTGTAACCTTCACTAAAGCTGTTTCTGTGCTGTGATGAGCTCTGAAACCTGACTGAAACTCTTCAAATAAACCTCTGCAGATGATCTGTTAGCTGTTTGACAACTACTCTTTCAAGGATTTTTGATATGAAAGGAAGGTTGGAGATTGGCATGTAATTAGTGAAGACTGCTGGTAACAGTTTAACAACTACCAGGTTGAAGGCCTGTGGTACATAGCTGGTTATTAGAGATTGAAACATTAATTAATGGCAGCACTTCTTTATGCAGGTTTGTAGAAACGGGGTCTAAAAGACACGTTGATGGCTTGGAGAAAATTATTACTGAAGTTGACTTCCTCAGGCTTTACTCAACAGAGCTTTGAGTTTTTGTCAGCCTGGCTACGGTGCTGAAAAGAAACCTGGTATTGTTCTTACTTTCATCAGTCAGTGATGAATAATAAGTAGCTCTAGCTTTACAGAGGACTTAAAAAAATATAGCAACAATTTATTTTTCAAGGTTAAATGATGATCTTCTAAATTACTGAGGCACCATTTCCTCTCCAGCTTACAAGTTGTCTGCTTTAAGGTTCGCATTTAAGAATTATACTGGTGAGTCAAGTACCTCTGGTTTGAGGCTTTCTTTTTTTTTAGATGAGCTACAGTATCCAGAGTCGTGTGCAGTGAAGAAATAAGATTATTAACAACATAATCGACTTCTATGTTGGTAGTTCCTGTAGCTCAGGGGTGCCCAATCCCGGTCCTCGAGAGCTACCGTCCTGCAGCTTTTAGATGCATCCTTGTTCCCACACACCTGAATCAAATGGTTTGATTACCTCTTCAGCATACCATCATGTTTGGCAAAGGCCTGATAACAAGCCATTCATTTGATTCAGGTGTGTGGGAACAAGGATGCATCTAAAAGCTGCAGGACGGTAGCTCTCGAGGACCGGGATTGGGCACCCCTGCTGTAGCACTTTCAGAAAGATATCTGCTGTGATGACATGTATTCCCCATTTTTTTTTCTCTTTTTTTTTTTTTTAAGAAAAAGATGATGACTCTGTGTTTAAACCTCTATACACATGGACTAGACCTTACTTTGACCATTTAAACTTTTATCTAACTCCAGATTAAGTAGTTACTCATGAGGACATTTACACCACATCACAACATGGAGGGGGGGGACCTCCCTCGTCGCAGCCTTGAGGTCATTCTCCCGGGACTCTGGTGCTCTTCGAGACATTCTTCCATCTATGGACATATGAACACTGAATACTCTTAAACAAGAATGTGTGGAAAAATGATTAAACGCTACATTTGGTTCTGCTTCGTGCCTCACAACAATTAATTGTTATCAAATAAGAAGCTGTTTGTTTTTGTTTTTTTTGATTGTCTGATAAGGGCTGCAGGGTTGTAATAGTAGATTCAGATGCTTCCAGATGGTTCCACATATAAAGTATGTTGCAACCGACACAACTATGGTCTCCTACAAATAAAATCTATAAAAAAACAAACCCTAAATATCTGATTAAAAAAGTTCCCATCTTTAATGTATTACCAATCTCGCGTATCTAATCAGGGCTACAACTGGCAAAGGCATAACTGAGTTCCTGAAGAGGTTGCAGTTGTTACACAGTACATACGTGTAATTATATTGAGCTCATTGTAACTTCATTTTACTTTCTAGTTATATTAAATTCTACTATTGTCCAGTGTTGCTTCAGTCAGTGAGCCATAAGGAGGTGCTATTACTGTCATCTTTTATTTTAAACAAAAAAAGACCAAAGTAAACTGCAGTAAGCCTGAGTGCTGTGGGTAGGATTAACCCCATTGTCAATCGATTTGATTCAAATTCCATTTTTGTTTAGTTTTTTGTTTGTTTTGTGGGCAGAGTCATGGAATACTTTTTAAATACTAGATCTTGTGTATTATAGACAGAAATGATTAGATTTAGGTTGTGCTGTTAAGTGTGAAAGATCTCTTAACGGACTGGGTTTCTGTTTCACCCTCAGACCTTCATCAAGGAGCTGGTGGTCAAGCTACAAGGAGTTCACAGGAAGGATGAGCTGCAGAGTGAAGGCATCGAGCATCCTGTCATCTGTCATGGCCACTATCGCCATGAGCCTTATCACTTCAACAACCCACAGCACCACCACCACTTTCACCACAACCAAGAGCAAAATCAGACCCTCTGATGGCCCAATAAACATGTGCGCGCGCGCGCACACACACACACACACACACACACACACACAGATACTATTGTGAAATGAAGTCAGTCGTCCTGGATTACAGAAGGCAAAGTCGGTGAAGCATTGGATACATTATTGAAAACAACAACAAAATTATTAAATATAGATTTCTCTTGAAGTCCCTCTGTATCTCACTCAATTTTAAAACCCAATACAGTATTCATAAAGGAAAATATAGATTAGCTTCTTGGCTCACTCTGAAGCCCACATTGACCCAGCGGCACCACCGAAGCTCACTTGCTCACAGCTCTGGTTTCAGCTCACAGCCAACAAACGTTGGTTCAAAAATTTCGTCTGACTGCAGAAGATTGCTTCTTCTTGCCGACGCAAGGCTTTTGTGACAGCATTTGTTGGACCGAGCAACACACAGTAAAAGTGGGCATCCCAAAGAGCTCAGTGCAGATCTGAGAAGATGACAGATTGACACAAACAGTACAAGTTATTAGAAAGTGTAGCCACATTGCCACGGTCTGAAAAAGATCCAAACTGTCGTCCTCAGCAGAGATTAAATTGGCCCAAACTGCGAGGAACCACCAAAGCCCGAGTCAGTGTCACCAAGCTCCAACTCCAAAGCTAACACGTTCAAGCTTAACTAAAGTTGGAGATTGTGCAGGGGAAGCAACACAACTTCATATAAAATTATCCATTAACAGATTTAATTGATCTCTGCTATTTCTAAGTCAGATATCAGATATAGTTAAAGCACTTGTTCAGAATGCACCTTGTCCCAAATAGGCAGTTTACAAGATATGCTACATGTATAATTTTCATGATCTTGATTTCAGACAACTCAAAACTAAACTTGTGCATCATCAAAGGCAGAGCTGGTTTTGATATCGGTTCATGTTGTGCTTGAAAGTTGTCTCAAAAATTCACAAAACACAGTTTTAACCCAGTCTGTGTATCTGGCTTTCACTGCTTTCTTTCTATCACACACACACACACACACACACACACACACACACACACACACACACACACACACACACACACACACACACACACACACACACACACACACACAGATACTATTGTGAAATGAAGTCAGTCGTCCTGGATTACAGAAGGCAAAGTCGGTGAAGCATTGGATACATTGTTGAAAACAACAACAAAATTATTAAATATAGATTTCTCTTGAAGTCCCTCTGTATCTCACTCAATTTTAAAACCCAATACAGTATTCATAAAGGAAAATATAGATTAGCTTCTTGGCTCACTCTGAAGCCCACATTGACCCAGCGGCACCACCGAAGCTCACTTGCTCACAGCTCTGGTTTCAGCTCACAGCCAACAAACGTTGGTTCAAAAAGGAGATGTACATGTTGAGAGAGAGAGACTTTCAGACAGAAGAAGCTTTGCTTTGCCCCCTATTTTTGGTCTTTATGTCTAGCCAGTTCTATATGTCCCTTAACGTCGTACTATACCTTAAAACACAAACAAACATGTAGGTTTACTTGACTGGAAAAACAAAACAAAACACCGCTTAACTTGTACTCTTTGTCACTTTCCTTACGTAAATATAGTTGGTGTCAGAAACTGTTGTGGTAACGGATGAATGTATATGAAGGAAAACAGGACTGACAGCAGATTTTGAAGTGACATCCAAGGGTGGCTTCTAGGTCAACAAATTCACTGTGTGAACAGAACTGTGTCACAGAGCACATGAACATGGGTTTAGAAATAACACCGCTCAATCACATGCACATACGTGTGACTTATTTAACAGCTGGTAAATTCCAGTGGTTATTTATTGTCATGATTACAGAAAAAGGATAAGGATCTAACATACTGGTATGATGTAACACTGGAAATAATCCTGTTGCATTGCTTATCCACTGTAGCTTTTTAATATTTCATTGTTATTCATATTGTGTTTGAGTTTTGGTGTTGCTACGTTGTGAGTTATGTCGATATATTCACTAAATTGTAGTTGTGCAAAATAACCGAAGTCTCCTGAAGAAATGTCTAATAAAATAATTTTGTTCAGTTATAATGTTTGTTTTCAGGAGGAGGTTGCACTAATCCGCTGAGATGTGTAGTCTAATATACAGCTGGATGTGGGACACAAGTTCAATGGTGAATTATGAACTTTAAAAAAAACAGCTTGTGTCAAAGGCCACAACATTCCTCAACCAGGACTACTAAAGCTCACCAGCTGCTTGGGGAAATATAATTTGCAGTTTGTGCTGCAGTCCCTACTGAAGGGCAGTATTTCAAAAGTAGAGGAACTATGTGGGTGAGGCTTGCAGTAAATAACATTTTGACAGGAGGCAGAAAAACATAGACCACTGTGGAAACACAGGCAGTCATTAACTTGAAGAAACCCTTGGACTAATACTTCTGGAAGTAAACTTAATTTCAGGGAGAGTAAGGGTGGCCACTTACTCCTTTTCCCAGTGTTTATACTGTTTATCTGGACGTAGGATTTCCAGTGGGAGGAACGTTTCATCCAAGTGACTTCTTCAGGCTCAGAAGAAAGACATGCCATTTTAAAAAGAGTCCAGTGAGCTCATAGATCATTTCTATGAGAGCTTTGGGAATTGACAAAAAGCCCTGATCAGAAGAACCGAGGCCCCTGCTGGTGACATGGCTGCAAAAGTTTGCTTGTGTAGGTGGGTGGGTTATCCAGAGCCCTAAAAATGAACACCAGACCTTGGAATTGAATCTAAACGGGGAGCCAGTGCAGTGAGATCAGCATAGGTTTGACATGAGGATGTCTGGAGGCTCTGGTATGGAGTCTTGTAGCAGTATTCGATACAAATTCTAGCTAGGTGAAGCGAGATGACTTACCAATCTCCATCTCCGCAAATAAAAGATCTCTTTAAGCAATGTAAGATAATTCAGCTGTAGGATGTGTTTATTTGTACTCATAGAGGCACTGCAAATATGTTACGATGTTAATGTATACACTAACGTGTGACATTTAAGTAAGTAAGTAAGTAAGTAAAATTTATTTATATAGCACATTTCACAGATAAAAATCACAAAGTGCTTTACAGTAAGATCAGACATACAAGTTAAAATTAATTAAATTAGTTAAAAGCCCGTTTGTATAAAAATGTCTTCAGCTGCTTTTTAAAGGAGTCAGTAGAGTCTAGACAGCGTAAAGACAACGGCAGAGAGTTCCACAGCCTAGGTGCCAGTGCCTGAAAAGCCCGATCCCCACGTGTTTTAAATCTAGTACGTGGGACCACCAGTAGCCTCTGACCTGAAGACCTAAGTGCTCGGGATGAAGCATGAGGTTTCAACAGGTCAGAGATATACTGGGGAGCTTCACCATGCAGAGCTCTAAAAGTTACAACTAAAATTTTAAAATGAACCCTAAAATTTACAGGCAACCAATGAAGAGAAGCCAAAACTGGAGTAATGGAGTAAAACCTGGTGCCCCAGCAGGGGTCTTTTGTGTGGCGAACATCCTGGCTCATCCTGACCTTTGTGGGAACGTATTCATCACAGCAAGAATTCGGCCTCAAACTGAGAGCCTGCTGGCTCTGTTTGTATATTTAACACATTTTAGGAAACACACATTTAAACTGTATTGACCTTTTGACCTTTTAATGGTTTCAAAGACTCCAGCTGACTGGACTCATTTTACTATTATAAATGCACATTCTATGACTCTAAACATACCCACTAAAACTACAATCTGGTCAAGCTGTTAACAACTTTTAGACATCTGAAAGTTGTGAATGATTAATGAATGCTAGCGACTGGGCTCATCTTTAACAAGCTGTTGTGTTTGTAATCAAATCAAAAGGAATCTTGATAATTGAAGTTCAACATATTCACCACTACATCTTTATGAGCTTTTTGGAACACAACATATTCATATCATATTAGCCATGCGTCCTTGGAAATAGCACATTATAAAAACATATCTGAAACGTGACATTGACGACACAGTCGTTTTCATGTCACTTATGATACACTGTGTGTATCTTTTCAGTGGCTGACAAAGCTGTTACTTTTATCTTATTTGCTCTAAAATTTAGATGTTTTAGAGCAAAACCTCTTTAGGTTTGAAGTTTTATGAGTGCATTTAATCAAATTTGTATTTATATTTGACCTAGGTTACATTAAATTGTACTTTGTGTTTGCAGCATAGTTGATTTCAGCTACCAGCCTAGCCTATTGTAAAGAAAACAAGTCAATGCTGGACAGCATCCCTGACTGTATGATACGGTGGCCCTGAGAGGCCAAACGGACTGCAACACCAGCAATAAGAAAAACGCTGCGAAAGCACACAAAACACAACGGAAATTCACCCAACCACTGTCATGATGAGAGACATTCATAATGGAAAACATGAGTAGAAATGAGAAAATTCCATCAGTCATCATGTCTGAACTGGACTAAACGCAGAACGCAACCCTTTGCACTACACCTCTCTGCACACTGGGTGGCAGGAGGGAGCCAACGTGAATAAAGGCCCTTCATATGTTACTGCATCTTGTTGACATGTTGCTCACAATACTTTGAACCGTCCACGTGCTCAAACTCTACAAACTCACTGCATTCTTCAATTGTTCTGTCCTGCATTAGACTTCTGTCGCGGCTATGATGAACGTAAAACTTTGCAGTAATGCAAAGACGTTCAAGTAAGAGTGCAAGAACGGGACTTTTCCCTCATGGCTGTTGACAATGAATAATCCGCATTTTACGTTTTCTACTGAAGCCACACTCACAAACACAGAGAGAATGTAGAGATATTCACAACCGTAGAACAAAACATGGGGATGTGTTGTCCTCCTTCACCTTAAGGTCAATACAATTAGTGTAATTAATTACACTTGGGGCCCAAGGTGCGGGGGCTGATCAGGACAGGGTGGTGGTGGGGTGGGGGTCTGTGGTGTGTGTGTGGGGGGGGCAGAAAGGACGGGACAAGCCTTTCCTCAGGAAAACATATCACCTTCAACCACAATAGGGTAAACCGCAGGAAATCAGGAAACCGCAGGCAGCAACATTGCTCTCTTGAGTCAGTGAGGACTTTCAGACACGCTCTCACACTCATCACAGACACTCTACAGCCGGGCAGCTCATTTAGCCAACACACTCCAGGATGACATTGGACTGAAACACAGCAAGGCATCGTCATCAGGTAAGTCTGATCCTCTGCAATCATCTATTATTTCATACTGAGTGTTTCCGTTGTGATAGAGATTTAAGTTCAAATGATTGTTTTTATGTGGAAATCATTGTGTTTGGCTGTTTTTCACCACCTCTGTCTGTAACATATATACTTAAAGTTGGGTAGTCATTTTTGTGTTTAGAAAAAAAACCCCAAACTGATTCACCGTTCCTCCTTTACTTTTTTCATTTTTGGAAGAGTTTCCCTATCCTGGCTAATTACACAAACAAACAAACAAACAAACAAATAAACAGCTTAGAAAAATCAAGAAAGAATATCAAGGAAAAAAAATCATACACAGTTCATATTTGATCAACCCACCAGTTGCTAAGTGTAATACAATGCTGATGTCTGGCTTTTGAGCGTTTGCCAGTCACACTGATTTTATGAACTTTGAGGTCATCTTCTTAAAAAAGACACAACTGATAAATACCATCCCTGCTCGTCTACTTTCTTCATCAGGAACATTCAGTATTATTTTTCCATCTAGACACTAAAGGATTCAAATGCCAAAGCATCACAGTAACCATCTCAACTCGAGTCACTGTTCTGAATTTTTACTAACAAAAGATCAATTGTTGTCACTGTCTGGAGTTTGGCTGTTTCTGTTGGCAGGAACAAAGATGAACAAACAAAAGGAGAACTCTCTTTCACTGCCATCAAAGCAAAAAATAAAAATAAAAATTGTTCCCCTGCTACTATTTGTTCTATTCAATGTCATTATTTAAAAATGAAGTCCATATAACGAGTAAAAACTGACTGAAATGAGCTTGGCATGATACCGTACAAACTTTAATCACTATTAAAGCACCTAAAGTATTTTTTCAGCATCGCATGCGGTATGAAACTAAACACTGTTTCTTGTTCTTGATCATGAAGCAGTAGCCTCTCATTATAGTGGAAGTGAAACAAAGTATACTTACTGAATTAATGAAAAAGTACAAATGAAAGAAAAACATACTCCTGGGTTCCAAAAAAGTAACCACCACATCTGACCACAAGTAATCATATGAAATATTATGACCACATCATAAGGCAAAAAAACACAATAATGAAAAACAGCCAAAGCAGAAAAAATGGAGAGTCAGACAAAAACAGCAATCTACTGTAGGCCTGGTGTTAATATAATGTTGAGTCAGCAGGGGGTGCTTTTTGCCTTCAGTACTTTTTAAGATTCTGTAAAAATTTGCTCATTGAATATGCAACGCATGAGAGCAGACAATTTTATGTTTTCTACGTATAACAGCACAATGACTTTGTTTTTCCACTTCCAGTTTTTAAAAAAAATCATCTTTAGATACCTTTAATAGGTAGTAAAGTTACTTAAGCACTTAAGAACTAGCTGTCCTGTTTCTCACCGATATCCCACCCAGGGCTGTGTGCAGTCTTGCATATATTAGCCAATACATATCACCTGAACAGCACCTTAGCTTCTTTTCTCTTAGTCTTGTTCGGGGGATGAAACGGCATTCTTCAAAAGGATATTCCAGCACTAGAGAGCACAATAACAGCACTGCTATAGGATATACACTACCCATTGTGTTGCGTTCTTCTTACTATGAAGGTCAAATATATTTCACATGAAAGTATTCAGGGAGCTCTAATGCCCTATTGTTGTCGCTTTGGCTTTTTGTCACTCCCACCAGGACAGAAATGTTTCATAGAGGGATAAAGGTGAACATTTTGCTCTGATGTGCAGTGACAATTCCCTACAAGGCGACGAGTGGCTCCAGAACTTTGTCAATAACTTGCCCACCGCAGAGTCACCAGATCCCATCACTTTAAGGATCAAAAGTTCTACTTTTTTCCTTTAATTTGTCACATACTCGTATATTTGAAACTAATGTGACACCACCTGGATTCTCGGTATGAAACTGACTATTTGTGTTTCCCTGGAAACTGTTTTGTCACTAAGGTGTAAATCGGGGCCAAGAAGAACAGCAAAAACTCAGTTTCATCACCTTATATTAGAACTGAAAAAACGTCACAAACCAACTCTTATATAAAAAATGTCATTAAAAGTTATTTTAACTTTCAGTTTAAAATGAGTTCACTTATAAGTAGTTTGAAATGAAACCTCTGATCCAGGACTGTTTCTGAATTCTTTGGGGCATGAAATTATATTATTTTGCTCTTATCTTGGTAGGTTAAAGCCCGGGTATGTCTGGTACTCATGTCCTAGTTAATGTTAACTGTGGGTAATGTTGACAGATCTCTGTAGGTTGTGTTTTATCCCAGTTGTTTCATCCTAAGTATTTCCATAGAATTACAAACAAAAATCTAAATTAAAAGAAAAAGAAAAGAAACATTTTTCCTAGATCTTACACATTATCTTTGTTTTGCAGTTTGTTAACGTATTAAATGCAACCATGCCCATTCTGAAGAAACTCCCGGGAAGATCCAAGAGCTGCCACGAGTTCCCCAGAGTGAACGGTGAACTGATTCTGCCTCGCCTAGACTTAGACATCAGGGACTTGAACGAGCTCAAGGACCTGAAGGAGCTTAATGAACTGAAGGATCTAAACAAGAACCTGAACCCCTTTGAGGATGTGGACCTGGATGATGATGATGACAGGAACAGAGGTGACATGGGCCTCATTATGGGGGAGGTCAAGGGTAACCTCCAGCTGAAGTCGTCCTGTGATGGTGAAGAGGAGGAGAACGAGGTAAATGCTGGGAAACACGGGGCAGGGAATCCTAAAGTGAAGCCACTGCGGGGGACCCTTGAGCGGATCTGTGGAGTGTCTCCCCTTAAGACCCTTGGAAAATTGGGAAAGGGGCTTCGCATATCAGGACGGAGTGTATGGGGGAACAGCACCCCACACTACAGCCCTGGAGATTCAAATACACTACCAGCAGAGAAAGAGAAAAGAAAAGGACTACGCAGGAGCTCAGAGGGAATAATGACCCTGCTTCGGTGAGGAGAGATTTGGAGTAGAAAGAAAGCAGTTTTTAAACAATTTAACCTGTGGTACAGTTGTGGTTTGACGTTTACATTCACTCATCATTGACCTAAATGTTCTTTTTTCCAGGTGTAATCATTGTGCAGCATGCTTTTGCACTTTGAGTATACAAGTTTGAATTGACATTGGATTTTGTCACATCCACACAGGGCCAAACGTATACATATAGGCTAAAATATATTCATACACTCACTTGAATCTTTTAATAGGTGACACTGAAGGTCCACTGAATGTCTTTTAACTTGCCGAGGCCTACTAACTTCTCATTAGTGATCACCATTGACTACAACTGGTACTTTATCTTTGTCAGCACAAAAAGGATGTGTTTCACAGCTCACAGCACACATGGGATTAACTAATACTCATAACAATGGGAAAATCCAGAGAAGTCTGTGGGAAAAGATGATTAATAAGAACTCTAAATTTACGTAAATTTAAGCTGGGAAGGTGTCTTAGTCATTTCCACAAAACTGCAGATTCTGAGCTCATCATTTGAAGGAGTTATACCCAAGCACAAGTTCTAAAAATAAAAATTGGCTAGAATATTCAGAAACATCCCTAACCATAACCCAGAAAAACTGCTGGCATAACTGTCAGTGAAGCAAGTTTTACATTTCAGGGTTAATCCATTTGTAGAAATTTGTAGCTCCCTATGTGGACGAGCCAAATGCCTTGTGGGAAAGTTTTATTGTCAGACGAGACAAGACTGAGTCACAGTTAAAAGAGGTACGTTTGGAAGAGGCTTTCAAACCTGTGCCAGTGTTCAGCGTTCAGCATTGGTAAGCTACTGTTTGCTTTGAGTGCTCGAGTAGAGTAGAAAACCACTACATAAGAACCAGTCCATTTACCATCTACCAAATTAGGCAGACGCTTTAAACCTTGACATAACTGGGTGATCCAATGGGGCAATAATGTAAAAACGCACATTAAAATGGTTCTGGAATAGGCTAATATTAAGCTTCTGGCATGGCCTTCCCAAATCCCAGACCTCAACCCCGTTGAAAAATTCTGGACTATGCTGGATTTGTGCCAGGAAACCAACCAATTTAAATAAAATTTTTACTAATTCTGCCAAGAGTACAGGTCAAATATCCAGCAAGAACTATGCCAGGAGCTTGTCGGTGATCAGAAGTTCAGGCGCAACTATCTAAGCAACAAATATTAGTGGGGGCATCTGTATTTCTTTAAGCCTGTATATACCTTTGACCCTGTGTGGATTAGAGAAAATCCAAAACGAAAGAAAATTTGTGCAAACAATTTTTGGTTAATTTTTAAGTCATTGAAGATGTAGGACTGGAAAAAGAACATTTCAAAGAAATCAAGCCCCCAAATTACCGTGATATTCACAGCCATGTAAATTCTGATGACAACTGTATGTCACTTATGTGAAGCAACTCTATGCTCATTGGACTCATATGATGCTTTTGATTGCATTAAAAAATTGTTTTTCAGCGACTGAGAATAAAAGTCCTGTTTACTGGTCAGTGACAGAATAACATATAGTGCCCTTATTTCCTAAGCGGTTGTGTAATTTGCTGTGGTAACTTGTTGATCTAAGGAACCTCTTTTGTTTTTCAGTGGCATGTTGTGTACTTGCTGTCCTCACTCAATGGGACTATTTTTAGACGAGGTAGCCACACACGGCAGCAACACTGTGAATGTGTGGCACTCAAAGCACAGGTTTTCCTAGGAACTCCGTACAGGACAATACAAACCTCATGCACTCATTAAAGTCCTTGCATCATTTAGGGCCATGATTTATGCTCTTTGTCATTGCTGTGGATGTTCTGCAGCTTCACTGGTCGACGGAAGGAGGAGCGCAGAGAAAGCCTGCCCTGTGGAGACCTGAGCGTAGGCAACGAGGTAGAGACTTCCAGGCGATCATCCTTCCTCAGGATGGTCAGTCTGGGCAAGCTAAAGAGGGAATCCATGTCAGACAAGGCATCCCAAGAGGCGGAGGAGGAAATGGAGGAGGAGGCAGAGGATCCAGTAGTGAAAACCAGAGAGCCCCTCTCAGGTAATAATTAAGAAGTCGATAAAAAAAAATTTCTTTCCAAGTGACCCTGTAGACTTTAGTAAAGAATCTACATTACATTAGTTAATATTTCAGGTCAAATTTCAACAGCAGTTGTTGAAACCTAGACAACCCTCTGATGAGGTTAAAACTTTTCACTTGGGAGCCACTGCGCTCACTTACCATCAGGCTGAAAAGGAGAGGAAGTAGGGTCAGAAATGTTCCCCAGCTTCCTCTAGATAATTCAGTCCAGCTACTGTTTGGAGACTCCGGCAGGGAATTTTATCAGGAACAGAGGAATGTGCAGACAAACCTGCAAAAAACAGGCGAGTTTGTCAGCCAGGTACATGCACAGCTGCTGAATGAGATACGTGCATTAACATATTTGTCACTAAACCTATTACCTCTAAACTTGTGTTTCTCTTCTGGTTTCCCACAGTTCTGGAGATCTTACAGCTGGTCAATCACAGGGACCTTCTCCTGGCTGACACACACATTCAGGAACTGGAGCGAGAGTGTGAGCTCCTGTCTCTCCTGCCAAACACAACTCCTCCTACCCTTACTCCTACCCTGTGTCCCAGTACTCCACCCAGCATGTTGTGTTTGTCCTCTTCCTTTGATGAGTCCCTCAGCTCTAATGCGACTTTGGACTCAAGCCGGAGAAAAGCTAAGGATGTGGAGCTCCTGTATGAAGCCCTTCAGAAGGAGATGTGGGATGTGGTGCGGGAGTCACTCCGTCAGCCTAGTGCTGGCCCCAACCTTGGTCTGGTGGTGCTGGTAATCCAGCAGGAGGAGCATGCTGATGCTGCCTGGGCTCTGAGGGAGGAGACTAAGCCAGAGCAAGAGGTCCCCCGCATCCAGCCCAGCCAGCGTCCCCGGCGACTGAAGATGAAGTGGAGGCAGGCTGTAGTGGAGGCTGCAGACTGGAGCCTGCCACATCAGGTAGACACCCAAGCAGGCCAGTTGGCCTCATACCTGGAGCGCCTGAAGTGTCGAATGGTGGATGATCTGGATGCAGCGAGAAGGAACGCTATATCCATTTACCCAGAGGAGTTTGCAGCCTTCCAGGTGTATGTGGAAAGTTACCATCGAGCTGTGGCCAAACGTCTTCGCACTATTACCAGTGGCCCACTGCAGATCACAGACGTATACTCACTACTTGACTGGTTCTACAACATCTACAACAGGTTGGTAATGATTGCCTGCTCCAATAACGACACACACAACAAGCTTTTATTCCTAGTTAAATTTTTACATGAATTCTTTCCCACCAGGGATGTCCTAGGAACAATCGGGACCACCACACCCATCAACTACAGCACACTGGATGGTATTCTGCCTCAAGAGACAGTGGATAGGCTGGAACAAGACTGCATTAGTGTAGTCAGGGTGAGAAAAGAGTGTTTGAATGTCTGTTGCTGGGAAAATGTGGATAAGCGATGCATTTAAATTTCCTGCTTTTTCAATTTTCAGGATAAGGTGACAACAGAGCTGATCCATGTGCTTGATGAAGAGGAGAGGCGGTGGGCCCAGACTTTGCACATAGAGGAGTATCAGTCTCACCTAGCATGCTCAGTAATCCAGGTACAAAGCCGTACTATTTCAGTAACATTTTCCTTGAATGAAACCTCTGTCTTATCACTCATGTCTTTTAAAATTTCAGAGGGTAAAGGTGGATTTGGACAGATCTACATCTGTGAACCAGTTTCTAGGAGCAAGAGTGGCTCGCTGCAGTCTCATTGGATTGGCTGACTTCATTTACAGGTGTGTGGACAGTAGTTTAAGGTTATAGCTGTTAAATCATATCTATATATCTATCTACTGAGAAAGAGAGAGAGAGTATTTGCATTCAAAGTGTTCTCATAAAACCTCTATGCATTCAGTTTCCAGAGGAAGGTGGAGATGTTTCATGACAGTCAGGCAGAATTTGGAGACCGAGGAGATGGATATGTGTCAAGGACTATAGCTCTGGTTAACTGCTGCCCTCCTCTCAGGTTGGCAAAGATCAGTGAAACTTCATATCTGAACATTTTCTAAAAGAGCTACAGAAACTAAACTGACATGTCATATTTCTTGTGTAATGTGTAGATCCTTTGTGGACCGCTGCAGGCAGTGTGACCCACAGGGCAGTGAGGAATCTGCGCAGAAAGCCAACTCCTCATTGGACAGGATCATCAACCAGTCAGTGAGGGTGCTGACTGACAGGCTATTTGACCACATCAGAGTGAGTAGGACAGTGGCAAGATTCATCTGAGCCATTAAAGATGGTTTTCTGGAAACATAATTACGATCATGACCCAGATGTGCTGTGCTTAACAAATTTATGAGAGCATCACCCAATAATAATAATAATAATACATTTTATTTAAAAATAGCGCCTTTCAAAGCACCCAAGGACACTGTACAACAGATAAAAACACAAAAACTGGAAATATACACAATAATAAGAATAACAGATAAAAGTTAAGAGCATACAGAGGTTTAAACATAAGCAATTTTAAACAGATGAGTTTTGAGGGTGGACTTAAAAAGAGGGAATGAACTAATAATGTTCCACAGCTACCCTAAATTAACAGTACTGTAATGGTAATCGGCAAAATTATTGTGTGTGTCACTGCAATGGTTGCTCCAGTATGCACAAGCTCTTCAATAAAATTATATTTTAATGCTAAAATATAATTATTTTTCTTATCAAAGAATTTTTCAATTTACTGTACAAAAAGAAAAAAACATTAAAGCACATTATTATTTATCAGGTTAAGATACAAAATTACAGTTATTTACTTGCATTCCTGAACAGAAAAATAGTTTTAGTGGTTGAAGGTTATGCTTTTGGTACAAAGCACAAATTCATTTCATTAAGTTTACTTATTATTAGTTCTGAACAAGTTTCTGGCAGATTTGTGTTCATGACGGGTAAGCTAAAACAAAACAGTATTTTTTTGTAGCTAAGTTTCTGGTCACATACTTGTGTCTTTTATTATTTTGATAATACACCGAATTATATGGAGAACTTACATGTAATACATGAAAAGTCAGTATTTGGGCAGAAGTGTTTTGTGTACACACAGCTGTTTAGTGTTTCATTAGCTGTATCGTTAGCTGTTTCGTTAGCTGTATCATTAGCTGTTTCGTTAGCTGTTTCGTTAGCTGTTTCGACAAAAACAGCTAATAAATACAACTGTCCAACGTGATGATGATAATAATGATAATAATAATAAACAATGAGTATAAAGTACAGTCTTTACCTCATTCCTATATCTGAAATTTCAAGTAATAAAACCATCCACACTAATTCAGTTAAAAGGACTAGATGTTACAGCCCCTGATAATGCATTGTTTTTGATGGAGAGACTCTTGAGGGATGGCTAGGGTTGCCAACTCCCTGAAAAATAAATAAGGGACACCTCGTGGCCAGGGCCGGGCGACCCAGTTGTCTTCACCCTTCCCAGTGTGGTGAATTCTCTAGCTCTTTTTTTGTGTGTGAAATTATTTTTTTAACCCTTTGACTTGAATTTGATTTAAGTAGATGTGTATTCTTTGTGATATGAACACATGTGAAACAAATGATCATTTAGCCATTTATTTTTAGCTCAAAATGACAACATTAACACAATAAAACAGGTCTCCTTCTTAAACAGAAGCCTGTCATGCTTAACTTTTGAGAATATAAGTAAATCTTTCTTTAAAAGAACTCTGTCCTGCTTAACTTAAAATAATAGAAAACAATAGAAAGAAAAACATTCTTGTAACAGTGCACATTTAGTGCATTTAGTACAATTGGCTTCAGTTGAAATATTATTTCAGCTTTTCTAATGCTAATCAGCTGCTCCTGTTTGTAAACCCGCTTGTTCCCATGATTACGCATCATAACTCATCATCATTATTCATCTGTGTATTACTTTTATGTATTAGTCATCTATTTGTTGTACTCATGTATCCTTGCAGTTGTTTATTACACAAAATAAATTATATTATCACACTTCTGGCCACATAGCGCTGATATTCATTGCACATGCCCATATTAACTTTTTCCAGCCAGGTGTTTTCCTTTTCCCATTCTTCCCTTTGTCTGAGGGGAACAAACATTGCTGCTCTAATGCTGGGCTTACACTGTGCGGTTTTAGGCCCATTTTGAGCCGATTTTTGAGTGATCGGACCGATTTTGGCCTTCATCGTGCATCGTGTAGTATACGTGGGGTAACGAGAAGTGATTAACACCTCACGACCAGCTCCCGATCATCAATCGCTCGTGAGGTTCTCACCACAGCCGCTCACACTGCTCACGCGCAAACACGTAAACGTTGGTGTAAAAGATGGAGCAGCACGGCTGTGCAGCGTGTGATCTGGACACAAGCGATGGAGGCACAACTTGGAGAACTTTGGAAAGCTCATCCGAGCCTTTTCGATGTGGCATCACAAAATTATCACGACCACAACAACCGTGAAAACAGTTGGATTTACACTGCTGCTCAATCACAGCTGCCTGATGAGTGTTTTTCATTAGCAATTTAGCAAAGTTGATGGTGGTGGTGTGTCTGTATGAGTGAAAGACAGAGAGAGAGAGAGAGCGACAGATTTTCTGTTATAACCTTCATTTTATGGAGGCACAGTGTGAGCACTCAGGTCACGTCAGAGCATCGGGCGGTATAGTGTGAGACCCTGCATCGTGACCTACCAACTTCTAACCCCTGCGAGTCAACCGTACAGTTTGAGCAGGTGCTGAATAACGTGACTGAAAAAATCGCACAGTGTTTGCCCAGCTTTAGGTGTACTGTCGTCCGAGACTTGCACCGCAGAGTCGGCGTTTGTTTCCCTGTTGGCCATGCTTCTTGTTGTGGTCATCTGTTGTCTTCCGGTATTTTCTCCGTAAGCGACCTTTCCTCGACCAATGAGATGAGCGGTAATCTGAATTGTCATACTCGAATTGTCATAAGTGTACTGTCAGCTCATTGGTCACAAAGCAGGAGAGGGGCTGGGAATTATGTTTTCAAACAAAGCGTTAATTCCATTAAAAGTTATAGACTACTTTTGATTCTCACTGTATTACGGGACAAAGTGCGTCCCTTATTAGCTCAATACGGGACGTGTACTTTTGTTTCGAAATATGGGACGATTCCGTATTTTAAGGGACGGTTGGCAACCCTAGGGATGGCTGTTATGAGGAAAGGCAGCCCAGAAACTTTGCCAGCAGCCCACGTCGTTGTGTGCTCACTTTCAGTCTTTTACCCAGGCTAATCTGCTGTTTTCCTTCCTTGGTTAGGTTTACCAAACCTAAATCTGTTCTTAATCTGTACTTTGTCTGTTGCCTTTCTAGCCCTTCTTTGACAAACTGATGAAGAGAAAGTGGCTGAACAACACAGAGGCCTTCGAGGCTATTGAAGCCAGTATTAAACAGCATTTCAAGAAATTTAGAAGGATGGACTCTCCACCCTATCAGGTCAATACACGTTTGAAATGGTAGTCGATAACATTTTCAATGTATAAAGGTATGAAGCTATATAAAACTATAGCTAATCTACAATTGCTGTTATGACTGACAGACACTGGTGGGTGAGGTGCACCGGCGGGTCCTAGTGGAGTATGTGAGAGCCATTATGAGGGGACGCCTCATGTGCACATCCTCCAAGATGAGGAAGAGGATGGCTTTCCGCCTGCAAGATGAGGCCAAGCAGCTCAAAGGACTCTTTAAGGATCTGGTAAGTCTGGTCTGCAGACACAAAACATTTTTTTTATTAGACTGTGTTAGTGTGGAAAAGAAAATTATATTTTAGAGTGCTAATGGTCTCCAAATATGGAGAAGGAAATTTACAGAGTCCAAGACACAAGTAGTGGTTATGTTTCCGGGGAGCACAAACCGATCCAAAGTGCTGATTCTCAAAAACTTGGAATGGGGAGGGGGAAAGAGTGTGCCGGCTGTGACTGGAGCCTGACCCTGGAATTTCCTAGGTCAGGAATAACTCAGACAGTGTTGATACAGGACTGAGCTCTGAAAAATGGCTGCCGTCAGTGAAATGGAGATGGATGAACCGGGCTTACGTTAGCACTTGCCAAAGTGGGGAAGAGGGAGTCAAACAACGAGGCCTGACGGCATGGCATTTGCCCCCTTTCTATCTACAAGTTCAAACAAGTGTCCGTCACCTCAGCTGACAACAGGAAGCTGCTGTGTTCGGAGGAAACTTCCTGTTCCTGTCAGCTGGCGCACTTTGATGTGGCTCTGGAATGGCCTTGATGGCCTTTTTCGCTGAGGAGTGGGATGAAGTTTCTGTGGAAACTGGGAACTTAGGAGCATTGGGGGGAGGATGAGTTTTTAACGACCACCAAAAAAAGACGTTGTTATTTTTAGTGAGTGGCAAGCAACCTCTCTTTTCCTCAGTGTTCCTGAGAAAAAAACAAGAAAGCAGAGGTTGAGGTCTGGTATTCACTAATCAAATTCCTAAGTGTTTGGCCTCCAGAGGCATTAACCTGTGCTTCCTCTGTGGGTTTCATTGTTCACTAAACTGCTTGTCACTTCTTGCCTGAAAAACACATTAAGACTTAAGAAGAGGTCATTTGGATGGGCAATGATAATAAATAAGTGGAACTCGCGTCTTCTTGCAGTCCATTTCTTCTCATTCTGTCCATCCAATGTCTCGTCTCTCGCTCACTGTTTTTCTTTGAAACTTTTGCACATTCAAGTGCATGTGTCTTGTAAACAGTGACCAAAGATGTCTGCAGAATCTTTTATGACTTTTATATCTAACAATACATTACCAATAGATGTGCAAGGATGCCAGCCTTTAGCCTTTTATGTGTTTTGAAATTTCATCCACTGTATTTGAGGTATTTTAGGTGTAATCACCAGAACTAAGTGCCCAAACGACATTATAAGTTCAAACAAAAGCACAGCTGTCCAACTTGACAGATTTATATTTATTTATGTAGCGTGCTTGCATTTATATGCTACTTTTGTAGTCTTACTGACGTTCAAAGTACTTGATTTATCTTGTAGTCCTGAGTTTCCTGTGAATGAATTGTCGCCTCTTCTCTGCCTCAGGAATCGAGCTCCTCCTGGTTGGACAGCATCATCTGTCACCTTGCTGACATCATTCTCCTGGAGGACACGCCCTCCATCCAAATGGAGGTGGCTGTCCTGGTGAAAGAATTTCCAGATATACGGTAAGGATTCCCCCCCCCTCACAAATGAACAGTCTTGAAATGTTACAACCAGGAAACATCTATAAGACAGATGCTCTCTGCACTGGTCCCTCCCAAAGGTCCTATATTCTTTTATGCTTACGGCTACACATTCGCTGTGTTGTTTTTGGCACTGCGCTAAAACAAGAAAAATGTAAGCCTGCATATGTTGTTTTGTTGCAATGGATCAAAACAAGGAAAAGGAGCGCGGAAACATATCTACATTAACTTTGCTATTTTTGGAGCGGTGCGGGTCTGTTTTGAGAATGGATGAAGCAGACAAGCCTCTGGGGGGGAGTTCCAGCCTGTTTGTGCACAGATTAAGACTCACATTAGTGACGGTTTTCGACCTAATGCACGTGACGCATAACCCTCCAAGGAACAGACAGGAAGCTGCTGCCGAATACTTCCTGTTCCTGCCATCCTGCAGGAGACAGACTGGTGCCACTCTTTGAGTCAGAGAGAGAAAGGTGTGGAAGAGAAGAGAAAAAGTAGCAGTTCAGACCTAGAGACACATTAACTTGCTGCATTTCTTTGTACCTTATGACAGACCCGCAAGTCTTTCAGGAGATCAAATGCAGGATTTCCCGAGTCTTTTATTTATCTACCTTAAGAGTCACATTGTGCACATACGGCTGTGTCTACATATTGTGGATAAAAAGTATGAAAAAATCCAATGATAAATAAAATACAGTGCTTAACAATTTTATTAGATCACCACCCAATGTAAGGTTTATGCCACAGCTGCTGGTAGTTATCAAAATCATTTTCTCATTTACAGTGGGGCAAAAAAGTATTTAGTCAGCCACCGATTGTGCAAGTTCCCCCACCTAAAATGATGACAGAGGTCAGTAATTTGCACCAGAGGTACACTTCAACTGTGAGAGACAGAATGTGAAAGAAAAATCCATGAATCCACATGGTAGGATTTGTAAAGAATTTATTGGTAAATCAGGGTGGAAAATAAGTATTTGGTCAATAACAAAAATACAACTCAATACTTTGTAACATAACCTTTGTTGGCAATAACAGAGGTCAAGCGTTTACTATAGGTCTTTACCAGGTTTGCACACACAGTAGCTGGTATTTTGGCCCATTCCTCCATGCAGATCTTCTCGAGAGCAGTGATGTTTTGGGGCTGTCGCCGAGCAACACGGACTTTCAACTCCCGCCACAGATTTTCTATGGGGTTGAGGTCTGGAGACTGGCTAGGCCACTCCAGGACTTTCAAATGCTTCTTACGGAGCCACTCCTTTGTTGCCCGGGCGGTGTGTTTTGGATCATTGTCATGTTGGAAGACCCAGCCTCGTTTCATCTTCAAAGTTCTCACTGATGGAAGGAGGTTTTGGCTCAAAATCTCACGATACATGGCCCCATTCATTCTGTCCTTAACACGGATCAGTCGTCCTGTCCCCTTGGCAGAAAAACAGCCCCATAGCATGATGTTTCCACCCCCATGCTTCACAGTAGGTATGGTGTTCTTGGGATGCAACTCAGTATTCTTCTTCCTCCAAACACGACGAGTTGAGTTTATACCAAAAAGTTCTACTTTGGTTTCATCTGACCACATGACATTCTCCCAATCCTCTGCTGTATCATCCATGTGCTCTCTGGCAAACTTCAGACGGGCCTGGACATGCACTGGCTTCAGCAGCGGAACACGTCTGGCACTGCGGGATTTGATTCCCTGCCGTTGTAGTGTGTTACTGATGGTGACCTTTGTTACTTTGGTCCCAGCTCTCTGCAGGTCATTCACCAGGTCCCCCCGTGTGGTTCTGGGATCTTTGCTCACCGTTCTCATGATCATTTTGACTCCACGGGATGAGATCTTGCGTGGAGCCCCAGATGGAGGGGGATTATCAGTGGTCTTGTATGTCTTCCATTTTCTGATGATTGCTCCCACAGTTGATTTTTTCACACCAAGCTGCTTGCCTATTGTAGATTCACTCTTCCCAGTCTGGTGCAGGTCTACAATACTTTTCCTGGTGTCCTTCGAAAGCTCTTTGGTCTTGGCCATGGCGGAGTTTGGAGTGTGACTGTTTGAGGCTGTGGACAGGTGTCTTTTATACAGATGATGAGTTCAAACAGGTGCCATTCATACAGGTAACGAGTGGGGGACAGAAAAGCTTCTTACAGAAGTCGTTACAGGTCTGTGAGAGCCAGAGATTTTCCTTGTTTGAGGTGACCAAATACTTATTTTCCACCCTGATTTACGAATAAATTCTTTACAAATCCTACCATGTGGATTCATGGATTTTTTTTTTTTCACATTCTGTCTCTCACAGTTGAAGTGTACCTCTGGTGCAAATTACTGACCTCTGTCATCATTTTAAGTGGGGGAACTTGCACAATCGGTGGCTGACTAAATACTTTTTTGCCCCACTGTAGTTTTTTATTCTGTAATGTTTACATACACAAGTGCTTCTTGTTTTTACCTTATTCAGTGTTAGTTTAAGTTTAAATGAAGCTTGTAAATTTAAGTAGGCCCAATATGATTTAAAACCATCGCCATGCAAAATTTTAGACGGGCACTGAATTTTCTGTCCTTCCCAGAAGTGAACACAGTGACTCAGAGAAAATGACCGTTACTCGGCGTCATGGCACTTCTTAACAACACCACACAGATCTAATTTCCGATTCATACCCATTTATCCTTCGTCCTCCCTGTATCCTTCCTCTTTGCAGGAAGAAGCATGTCTCCACCCTGCTGAATGTTCGAGGGATGATGCGGCAGGCAGAGCGACAGGAGATCCTCAATGTCGTCAAAGATTTTGAATGCAGCAGCGCCCTCATGTGCCGGGACCACGCCCTCTTTTCCGATATTCCCATCACCTCAGAGGTGCACTGCATCAGCCTGGGTTTCCTCCGCCTTGCCATGACCGTCTCCAACTGGTTCTCAGAGCACCGGCCAAGACGGAGAGGCAGAGTAAGCATCAGGAACGCTACACCTCAGCCTGCAGAGAATAAGGAAGATGCGACTAAACTTCACAGAGAAGACTAGCCACTAGTGTTTGTGCTAGGAGAGTAGTCACAGGCATACTGCGAAGATGAGATGTACATGCACCTTGACCAAAACTGATTTTGTCACCAGCCACTTAAAAAAAACCTCAGGTACTGCACATACTGTACATCCTCAGTGACAATTCTCCATTTCCTCGTGTTCGCTTTTGCTTTAACGATGAAACAAACTGTGTATTTTAATAACTCACCATGATTTACAGTACTTTGCTGTTTATTTACACCTCTACAGAAGTAAACAAAAAAGAATATATCCTCTGAATGTAACATCATGTTCATTAGTTTTTCAGCCTTTATTTCTTAATTGTCATTGCACAAAAAACTTCAATATGATTTACAATGTCTGCTCTTCAGCATATATTTACCCAATGATATATACCCTTTCTCTGGTATATAGAGCATATGGATGTACAGTACTGTGCATAAAAAGTTAAAGACACTTGCTGTTGTTTAGCTGTTTGCTTCTTATCCAGATACCTGATCTGTTAAAAAGTCATTCTGCTGCGTGCAATTAGGCCAATATGATGCTGGCTTTAGTGATAAGAAAAACAAAGGGTCCTGAACATTTGGACCTAATCTGGGATCATTCTGACACTTACCGATATAACTGGCAAATGTTGTGAGTGTTACAAATGTGGATATAAGATAAAGTGGACCTGTGGCTGAGCTGCAGAAGTCACATTTGCACCAAATCCAATGAGGTGGGTCAGATTTGGGCCAAACATTCATTGCTATATATAACATGAAAGAAGTCATAAAATAACTGTGGCAAGGTCTCCAAGATCCTTTGATCAAACAAAAGTGGTGCAGTTTTATTGGTGTTTTTTCATGACTGCACTTTGAATTAAACTAATACAGAAAAATGCAAAATTGCTTTATTTTCTTCAAAACATCCTCCATTTGCATTTTACTTTTACAATGTTTTCTTAGTACTGCATATTAATTTTATGGAAATCTGTTGTGTCACTGTGAATGAAATGGATCTATTGCTGGAAACATAATAAAAGCCCATTGACTGGGTCGAGTAAAGTGATTCAGCAGCTCTGTCATTGTGGGTTCAAATTCTGTTTTGCATTTCAGGTAAAAAATCAGCAGTACTGTATAAACATACAGAGAGTGCAAAAAATAGTGTAGAAGGAACCCTCGCTGCATCATGGGAAACCCCACGGCAGCCTAAGCCTATTGCAGCGTCACTAAGGAATGGTTCAGAATCACCTGATCCATCACTAACTATCGGTTTGATCAAAAACAAAAGTTTCAAAAGCAGTGACGGTGAATTTTCTGAATCCAAACCGGGAGCCGGTCCCACAGACGGCTTAATAATGCTCGGCTTCTGACTAAACTTTTATCAAATCTAGGAACCGCACGTAAGCCACCAGTCTGAGAACAAGGTGCTCTGTTAGGAAAATAAGGTGTTGTGTGACCTTTCAGAGCCTGAGTGTGCGGGGAAAGGTTTCAAATTCACCTGTGAATTTAACAGAGAGCCAATGAAAAGAAGCTAATATGGGAAACACATGGTTTCTTTTTATAGCTCCAATTCTGGATTAACTGAAGACTTTTCAGGGACCTGTTAGAGTGATCTGGTATTAAGGAAGCAGAGGAGTCGTGCCTAGAAGGTTATTTACTGGCACCTCAAAAACCCGTGGTACATGGCCTGATAATAAAGATGAGTTAATCATGTTTACAATTGAAGGATTAATTAATGGTGGAACTTTATTAAGCAGCAGGGATGGGGTCTAAAAGACACAATGATGGTTTTTAGGAAGAAATGATTGAAGTTAGCTTGTTCTTGGATTGGTCTAATAAAATATCATCATTTATCATAACAGAGCACTAAGTTAGACTTTAAAAAGTCTGAGAAATCCAATAGAAATTGAGTAACTGTTAGAATGGATATGCTTTTAGTCAGTTACTCTGCCAACTTCTAACTTTAGGTGCTGTGACCGGAGGGTCAGACATGCTGTCTAGCACTGTGTTAAACAATACATACCAAGTGGTACTCTGACAAACAGGCACTGGACCGACACACAATCTATGTAGCCAACGCATATACGCCCACCTACACATAAAGTCTTTGTTGTTTATCTTAAGAGTAAGGCTGCTTTGTTCAGTAAACAGAGCTTTAAATATGAAGCTCAAGAACAACGACTGCACTGTCTTGCAACAAGAAGGGTCATCCAACCCGGGGCCAACAACGGGATGTTTTTTACTAAACAAAGATTTCCTGTTGTCCGCTGAGGTGCCAACGGATGCTTTTATTGGAGCCAAGTTTACGTTATGCACTAGGAGGGAACTTCCCTTCTGCTGCTGCCGCTGAGCTTTTTCATGTCTGAGCTGCTCGTGGGCTTACCATAACAAAGTTGGCCAGCCCCAGCAGGGGTCATTCTACATGCCGACCTCTCAGAGGATCTGTATTTGAATTCTGAATGAGTGGCCGTGTGCTTTGAAATAACTCGGGAGGTTTGCCGTGAGCGTGTGGGATTTCACAGCAGGTGGTGGGATATATTTATTTGAAAAGCATGGAACTGCAGATGTTTGGCCATCTCCATGTCCCCTTACCGCAGTAAGGTCAGTGTAGTAAAGGGTGGTCACACGACACGATCCAGCAAGTTTATTTTAAGTGCTTTTGGTAAATTTACATTCACATATAAGCTTGCTGCTTCACATTGATTCATTTCAATTTCTGATCATTAGAAATTATTAGTAATTATTCAATAATAACCATGTATTCCATTTGGAAATATTGACAGAAAACAACACATTTAGTCCTGCAGACATGTTTTCAGATAAAAAGTAAGAATCCTCTCCACTCTGCCACTAACCTCACAGTAGAACAGTCTTTGTCACTACTATTAATGCAGCTCTCAAATCAGCTTTTTATACTCCCTGCTATGGTTTCCATGTATTGATCAGTGGTAAAGATATTTCTTACTGTGTTGATTTGTTGCGCATTTTCAAAAAGGTATTTTCAACCAGACAACTGTGGCTCATAAGATATTTGGTCATTTTTGTACCATTGCCTCATTGTGTGGGAAAATCCATTAGAGTCAAGTAGATCAGCACTCAGACCAACAACCATGCCACTTTCACTCACCTTTCTTCCTGATGTTCAGTTTGAACATCAGCAGCTTGTTTTGACAGGTGTAAGTAATAAAGTGGCTGCTGAATGTGTGCAGTGTGACTTTATTGGACTGTACAGTAGTTAGTGGTATGCTCTCCGATTGCATACATTTGCCTTTTCTGTTTTCTGATCTGTAAGTATAGTAAAAAAATAAAAAGTCTTAAAACAGTGGTTTTATTATAAAACCAAATAACTCTAAAATGATAATATAGAAAATAGTAACAGCACTATTACTACTGCCCGTCTGACAGTCATGTTGGAGTGTGATGAAGCAAGGACACAAATGTAGAGGTGGAGAGAGAAGGAGCATTAGTAAATAAATACTGGGCCATTTATTAAGGCTAGTATAAGTAGATGGTGGCAAAACAATGTTAAACTAAACACTAGAGCTCCATGAAAAATACTAGGAATGAGGAATTACAAATAGACAGAGTAAAGACAACAGTATGACATAAGAAGGACAAAGGGAGGGCAAAAGCTATATATACACACAAAAGGCTAATTAGGGGACTGAGGAACAGGTGGGTAAACACACAGCAAGGGATAAGGGGATAAAGGGAAAAAAAAACTCTAAAGGCAAGATATAAGGGACAGAAGACTGCCAAAATAAAACAGGAAGTAATATAACACAGAGCCAGAGACTAAACAACAAGACATGGGGACGCAGAGGAGGCAGGATAAACTGAAACTCAATGAACTGAATATAAACTTTAACTCTAACCCCAAACAGAGACAAGACCGCAGACAATAGCAAAGCTAAAACTAAGAAACTAACGAAGAAATAACAAGTACATGAACAGAATACAAATCTCAAAACATCATAAACACAGGAATCCAAAATTAAGGACAAAACTCAAAATTCAGCAGAAACCCCACACTACATGACACTGACAAAGATCTGAGTCACGTCCTGGGACACACTGTAGCTGTTATAAAACTCAACCTGCTCCACTAAAATGGATATTTAATTTAGGGCAGCTACATTGTTGGATATGCTGGCCAATCACAGGAGAACGTTCAGTGAGAGACTGAGATTACCAAAAAGCACCATCATTCCTGCCTGTGGCCATCTCCCTGTACAACTCCTCCATCTAACACACTGTGAACACTGCAATAGTTACACCCTTTTTATACACGCTCTTTTCTACTCTGGAATATTCTTGTCAATTTTCTTGTCAATATATATATATATATATATATATATATATATATATATATATTAGGGGTGCAACGATATTCGTATCGATATTGAACCGTTCGATACAGTGCTTTCGGTTCGGTACGCATATGTATCGAACAATACAACATTTGTAATTTATTTTATCAATTTTCCTTCTGACGATGCTGTCTGTGTTGAGCGCTCAGTGAATCTGTGTTCGACTACTCTGCCTAGGCTGCACTGTCGAGCGCAGATCCCCTGAGCGCTCCACACAGACAGCATAGTCAGAAGGAAGAGCACAGGGCAAGCTAGCGAGACAGAAGTTGCAACAGGCAAATTGAACCTCATTCAGATCTGGCGTTTGGAATTATTTTGGTTTTCATGTGACGTATGACCCTGAAGGTAAGCGAGTCATGGACTAAAGTAAAACAGTATGTTGGATGTGCCATGCAATGCTCAATTACATTGGTGTGAACTAGTGTGTTAGCGCAGTTAGCTCGTTAACGTGTTGGCCGTCTAGCCCCATGCACGGAGCGATCGGCGGTAGCTCGTTAACGGAGATTTGCCGTGTTGTGGCGTTAAGGTCATTTCAACGAGATTAACCTGAAAGCACTAGTGGGAACACAACGAATATGACTGCACATTTACGCCGACATCATCCTAGTGCAAAGACAAGTGGAAGCAGACAAAAAAAAGCAAGCATGCTACTAACTTTAGCCGAGTCATTTAGACAGCTGTTAGCACATGATTCTCCTTATGCTGCTGAGAATATAGCCCAGAAGAAGCGGATAGTATAGCTTTTATTTTGGAAAGAGCCATTTCTCTGTAATAAACTCTCTTTTCCAAAGATGAGTGATTCCTCAATCAGATACAGGGCTCGCAATATCGCTAGCCCGACGTCCCGGAGCTAGCGATTTTTCCAGTCAGGCTACCAAAATCTATCTCTGCCCTGCCCATCGGGCTATTGTAGGAAAAATATATGTCAATGCTTTTGCATTCTTTCAGAAATGTAGCTGGGTAATTATGTCATTGGCATCGGTGAGCCACTGTCAATATGTGACATATTGAAGTTGCGTTTGAATTTGCGCTCGTTTTTTTGCTTTCACTTTGCAATCGTGCGAACTGTGTATAGAGAGCGACAGCACTGATCTGTGAGTGATGATAATTTGTGCACCAATTCCTCTGACATCATCTTATTAATTGTTAGCTTACTATGCAAACATGACGAGTGAAATCTCCCGCAGCAAGCTTAAACATGTGAGAGGTTGATCGCGCAGAGAATCGCTGAGCTTATGTGAGTGTGTGTGTAAAAGCATTTCAGTTCTGCTGAGCCAAATAAGGCAGGTCAGGGTGAAGAAGTGACAGCCAAAGAAAAGCTTACCACAAAACGGAGAAGTTATGACAAATCAGACTATAAGGCAAAAAGAAAGTGCAGCTTTATGGTTTCATGGACAAAATAATTTCTGTGGCTGCAATATGACGAGCTAAATAACCAGGGCTGCACATAAGTGGTCCGCAGGTGCGCATTCGCTGTCAAAATAAAAAACACGCACAAGGGTTAGGGTTAAATTTAAAAACTGTACTTTTGAGTTAAAATATATATTTATAATTTTAATAAATGACAAATTAAAAATGCATGAACATTTTTTTGTATCGAAAAAATATCGAACCGTGACACCAAAGTATCGAACCGAACCGTGAATTTTGTGTATCGTTGCACCCCTAATATATATATATATATATATATATATAT